AAAAAAAAAATAAATGGGCTTAATTAAAGCCCAAACAGACAGACCAGCAAAATAAGCAGGACCTTTCCACTTACCAGTGCTATTTGGACAAAGGCGTGCTAGCAATTCAAATCTGATATCTCTTTCAACACTCATTGAACGAGCATGAATCTTAAAGATGTGAGTCCGACCCTAAAAATCAAAGAATTGACAAATATTAAAATGAAAAACATCACAGGAAGAAAAAACTTCAAGTATCCCTTTTCTCATATAAAACTGTTTTCCTACCTCTAAATCAGGTAAGCTAAATTCAATCTTCCTATCCAATCTTCCTGGCCTCATCAGTGCTGGATCCAAAGTATCAGGTCTGTTAGTGGCCATCAGCACTTTAATGTTGCCTCGAGGATCAAAACCATCCAGCTGATTTATCAATTCCAGCATTGTTCTCTGCACTTCATTGTCTCCTCCAGCACCATCATCAAACCGAGCCCCTGAGAAGACAAAAGGAAAGAGAAGCATTTCATGTCCACTCAGAGTACATACCCTGACTTGAAAATGGTGTACATCTCAGCTCACAAAGTATACTCTCCAGCAAAATGTACATCTTACTTTGAAGCAAACCTTGTAAGAACAGCCTGCCCTACACAAAAGTAATTAGAAAGTGAATCTTTGCTTTAGAAAGGGAATTCACCATAGATTAACATAGATTTTTGAAGATCTTCAAGGAATTTTGTTTTCCAAAAAACTCAAGAAAACCTCTGCAATTTCTTCTTCTTTTTTTTTTTATGGGCAGTATTGGGGTTAAAATTCCGAATCTCACACTTGCTAGGCAGACACTCTATCACTTGAGTATTTTTTGTGTTGAGTATTTTTGAGATAGGGTCTCTTGAACCATCTGCCCCCAGCAATCCTCCCAATCTCTGTCTCATGAATAATAGCTAGGATTATAGGCATGAGAGACTGGCGCCCAGTACACCTCTACTATTTAATACAATATATGCCTGGACAAGATGACATAGTAACATGCATACTGTTACACTGTTCTAAATTTCTCAAAAGTGCCTTTAAAATACAGCTAATTCCATAATAAAAAAGAACTACAGCAGTTTACTATCAAGCTGCCTTTGATATACTAAAGTACTCTGGGTTCATGTCAGTCTCTTTCATTTAAACCAAAAGAGCAAGAAAGGGAAAAAAAAATAACAGCCTCCAATATATTTTTTTAATTTTTAAGTTATATAAATACATTCTATTGCATTAATGCATACACTATAAACACACACACACACACAAAAAGAGGACGTAAAAATACACACAAAAAAATTAATGCTAGTAATCCCAGCACTTGGGAGACTGAAGATGGAGGATTATGAATTCGAGGCCAGCATGAACTACATAGCAAGACTCTTGTCTCAAAAACAAAACAAAAAAGAAAAGGAAAAAACTAAATCAACTGACCAAAAAAAACCAAAAAATGAAATTAAAAATACAAAAAGTAAATTCTAGTATTCTTGCCCCCTAACAGACTATTTCATACACAATCCACCATGTAAGCCACAGCTTCAGAGTAGCCTGACATCTTCAGGCTTATTCCAACACTATAAGAGTTACTTCAGAGTCAGAACACTGCCTTACTATACTGTGGCCAAATTACGGCCTTTGAAAACACTAATGGTACAATATCTAAACCCAACAATGCCCAAGGAGTCTAAAGACAAGACTCTTACCCAAACAGTGCTACAGGGTTGAATCAAGTCATTTTTGTCATTAAGTTCATTAAACAGCAACTGACTGGATATATAAAACCTCTATAGATACTGCAAATTATTACTCTAACACCTACAGCACAGTTCAGTGTTTTCAAAGTCTAATATTTATTAAACCATAAAATAAACAAGGCAGGACTAATAATTTCTTTATAAATTAAGCCAACTGAGGCTACTACTGTATTTCATCAAATCTACGAAGTCAACAGTAACATTACTTTATATAAACAAAGATAAACCACCACCAATTAAATTGTACCCCAGTGCTTTCTTATCACGTTAAGGGAAGATGCATCATCTCAATTTAGGAGTTGCTAAAGTGTGGAAAATGTGTTGAAGGAATAAAATTAAATAGTACAAAAATACAGGCTTTAGAAAATGTTAATGCTATATAATATTTCTTTTTGATCTAGCCCTATTTATTAGATCTGTGGCTGTAATGTGCCAGAGCTTGTAAGTGTTGGAATTAAAATTCTGAGCAAGATTAACACAGAACTCTAATGTGTATCAGTTTAGCGCTTTCATGAAATCCAATCCTAAACTAATGCACTAAAATATCATCCATACCTCCAATGGCATCAATTTCATCAAAGAAGATGAGGCAAGCTTTTTTTGTTCTGGCCATTTCAAAGAGCTCACGAACCATTCGAGCCCCCTAATGAGAAAGATTGATTTATTATTAATCAGTCAGGTTTAAATTCTTTTAAAATAAGATGAACAGTTATGCTACACATTTTTCAGTGTTTATTCCTAACAGCACACTCAATCATCGTTACCTAGAGCTTTTTCAAGACTGAAGTTCAGGGGAAAGGGAGCAATGAAGGAGGAGTGAACTTGCCCACAGTACACTATATGTATGCATGGAAATACCACACAAAACCTCTATGTACAATACACACTAGTAAAAATATTGATGTTTGCTACCTGTATTATCACATTGATTAGTATCTTCAGTATTAAGTAATTTTCATGATTCAGTATCTAATAGCACTAACCTGAAGACCTACAAAGGTCTTAAATTAGTATTGTTAAATAAAATAAAATAAAGACATCATTCTAATCAGCAAAACATAAGGAAATAAAAGCATCTGATCTATCACTTGGGACTGCCGATCATTAAATTTATCGGAAAATCAAAATATATCTCACTTGACTCACACAGCCCCTTTTTTAATTCTTGTTTCAAGCACACTCATCATTAGTAAGTTTCAGATACAATATAAACACGTTATGTGTACATATACCATGTACATACAAATGAATAACCTATATTCCCTCTTTCTCATCAGACCATAAAATACTTTCCCTAAAATGAAATTTCATTGACTGGGCATTTCACAAACCAAATCTGTATAAAATGTCATCCTTCTGAGGAAGCAAGCTGATTAAAATTTTAAATGGTTGCCTGTTTCCAAATGACCACAAGCAAAACCACCTAGCTTCTGGGCTCTTGAACTACTAATTACAATGAACACTCCAGAAATTTCAGGCCTCAATCCCTCAACATGGAATGATAATTTTAACTTCACTCATACTTTATAAATCTTTCACAGAGATACATATTATTTGATTTTGATAAATTTACTTTACCTCACCAACGTATTTCTGTACAAGTTCAGATCCAATAACTCGAATGAAGCAAGCATCAGTCCTATTGGCAACTGCCCTAGCACAGAGTGTCTTGCCTGTGCCAGGGGGACCAAACAGCAGCACACCCTTTGGAGGCTCAATACCAAGGTTAACAAATCTCTCTGGCTGTGGCAGAAAAATAATATTAACACTTATCATTTCTGCATAATAAAAATAAGACTACTTCTACATTGAAAATCAGGCCCACTATTTATATACTTGATCTGATTTCTTATTCTAAGACATCAAAGCTAAACTACATTAAATATCAACACATAAGGCTGAATGGCTTTTTTTTTTTTTTGGTGGTACTGGGGTTTAAACTCAGGGTCTACACCTTGAGTCACTCCACCAGCCCTTTTTTCTGTGATGGGTGTTTTCAAGATAGTGTCCCATGAACTATTTGCCCAGGGCTGGCTTCGAACCACAATCCTCCTGAGTAGCTAGGATTATAGGCGTGAGCTAAATGGTTTTTAAAAGTGCTTTTACTATCCAGCCTTAACAAAATATTTTCCTCACTTTAAACAATAACCTATAATATAGTTAACGTATTGCTAGAGGTTACACTGGAATTTCCTTTGTCAATCTAAAGGGTCAAAACGGATCTCTTGTTTTTGTTTTTTCTTTTTTGGGGGGGAGGGGGTGGTATTGGGGTTTGAACTCAGGGCTCTGCACTCTCCAGGCAGGAGCTCTACCACTTGAGCCACACCCCCAACCCTTTTTACTGTAGATATATTTTGAACAGGATCTCACATTTATTCTTGGTCCAGCCTGGACCCCAATCCTCCTATTTATGCTTCTTGTGTATTTGGAATGACAGGTGTACCTCACTGTACTCAGCTTTTTTTTTTATTGATTGAGACTGGGGGATATTGCAAACTTCTTGCCCAGGCTAGTCTCAAACCATGATCCTCCCAATCTCTACCTCCCAAGTAGCTAGGATTACAAGTGTGATCCACAGCAATCAGCCAGATTCTTTCTTTTTTTTAAATATACTTGACCACTCAATCCTTTTTGTTTGTCTCTTCTGAAACTTACCATCTCTCCACTCCTCCACTCTCAAAAATTTTCATTAAGAAAATTATTACACTTAACAGCTATCTAATATACAAACAATTTTAGTGCCCAATACACAACAGACTATTACACCTTTAAACAAAGAAATTTAAATGCAACACTTAGCTACTTACATGAAGTAATGGGGTTTCAACTACTTCTCGCAATTTCTCAATCTGTTCCTTACAGCCACCAACGTCACTGTATGTGACATCAGGTTTTTCCTCCACCTAAAAGAAGGATAAAATTACACAACATAGTCCTAGGTTTTTGAATACTAACCCAAATCCAGTACGATAGACTCAATACCACACACACACAAAAAAAGTCAGACTATAACAAGAATCTTAACAAAAACAGAGTATGTTAGCCAGTGTCCTAGTACTATTTGCTGTACTACACATTATGACATTAATAAGCAAGACAAACAAAATAAGGACTGATAAAAATCTTCTCATCTAACTAATGCAGATACTTTAAAGTGACAGAGGCCAATAGGAGAAGGAAACCAGGAACTAGAGAAAAGGTTAGTTTGAGAAGAATTAATTTAGAAGGTAACACACATGCACAGGAAAGCAATGCAAGTCAACTCCCTGTATAGC